ATCAGTACCCAAAACAGCAAGTATTTGCTACATGCCTATGAATATGGGATTTAGCTCCTTTTCCAATTGGAAAGGGGTATAGCTTAGCAGTAGAGCAGGTGACTGCCGATTAAAAGGTACCTGGGTATTCCTCATGTTTAATCCTCCCAAAATAATCCTTGTTAAATGAATTGGAAGGACTTTCTTAAATACCCAGCATTTCATAAATACCCAGCCTGGAAAAATCCAGACCCTTCTAGCTGTTCCATTATTCAAATGCAAAAATGCTGACTCCATCCTGCTTGCTTTAACTAAACTTCAACTCTGCGACAAAGCATTAGGTTATAGACATGCTTCTGCCAGGTATCTAGTTCAGTATCCAAGCTTGATTATAGCTCTCAGAGCTAATAGATTCAAAGCCTGATGTGGGAGGCTGGCAAAGCGCAATAGGTTAGTGTACAGGAAATTGTGTCCTAAATTCTGCTTGCCATGTTGCAACAAAGCTAGCCTTCAGCAATCTGTGTATCATGTTCCTCATCCAGAAAAGTAGAATTGCAAGAGCTATTTTATGAACATAACAATTATCATTTCCACCAATCTAGCAGGCTTGGGGGATACCAAGCCAGTCTACCTCTGAACAACCCATTGCTGCCAGCTCTACAAGCTCATGCTCTGCACAATCCATCCTCCTGTCCTTGCATTCCTCCCTGGGGGACAAATGGCAGGACACCCTAGATGAGAGCAGGGGTGAGGGTCCCCAGTGGACAAGTCTGTATCCCACAAGCCAGCGGCTCCTCCATGGAGCTGTTGCCACGGGCTCATATCTGGCACACTTTGTGGACACCCCTGACACCCTTTTGCCAACTGAGGGAGACCCTGGTACATGCCTACCTGGAGTGTGCCAGGCTGCAGCTTCTCTTTTGCCTTCTCCAGGACCTCTTGCTGAAGTTCTGGCTGTATTTCTCCCTGCATCTTTTTTGTTATGCACTTCCCGTCCACTGTGCCACCAAGTGCTGGGACTTCCTGGTCAACCTCCTCCTGGCTCTGGCCAAGCTGGCCCTCTATAAGACCAGGAAGGAGATTCGGGCCAGGGCAACCCAGGTGAGTGTGCGGCTGTCTTCCTGTCATTCCTCCACTTACGTCTCTGGATACAGTTTCACTGGTCGTATCCACAGGCTTCCTGCTTCCTCCATTCAGGGGGCGGTGGGTGCTGGCCAGCGTGCTCTGCTTGGATCCCTTCTGAATCTCTTGTAATTAACCTGTGACTGCCTCATTCCTGTTTTCTTTTTAGTTGTCCCAAGTAATCAATTGATGTGTCTCCAGTAGACTGTCTTATAAGGGAATCTTACAGTTGTCCATGATGGGCCAAAGCCCATGACCCCATAACATATCAAATAAGCCTGTGTTACAGAGAGGCAGAGAGTGGATGCTGAAAGGGAGAGGGAACTGGGGATGACCACTGTTCCCATGCACTTGCAGCAGCATTTAAAGTAGGGGTGGGCAAAATATTGCCTGTAGGCCAGATTTGGCCTGCCAATGGATTTTATATAGCCTGCAGCAGGTCTCTCAGCCCTGCCTGGTCCAGACAGGGGTGCAGCCCAGCCTGTGGTGCAAGCACTGAGCAGCCAGTCCTGCTGTCCCTGGGGCGTGCAGTGGGGCTGGGATGGTGTGGCTGCCAGACTCAGCTTCCCAGCAGTCCTGGAAGTGACAGGTCTGCTACCAGTGTCACCGCTGCTGCCCAGGCACCCTGGCCTACCCATCCAGCTCTTGGACTCCACTCCCCACCCACCCATGTCCCTATCTCATCCACCTGGTAGGGGTCCCAGGCTGGTCTCCATGGAGACCCCACCTGCCTGTTCCATCCAGCACCCCCAGCCGTGGGTGTGGGCCAGATGGACTGGGGCCAGTTAGGATCCATTCCCACCCCTACGCTCCCCCCCACCCCAGGCCGAGCCAGCACTCCCCCACACCTGCCCTGCAATAGCTCCCCAAAAATCCTTAAGTGGCCCTCCAACCCAAATAATTAACCACCCCTGTTCTAAAGAACTCTTCAGCCTGGAAAAGTGCAGGCTCAGGGTGATCTGGTGGCCACCTATAAGTTTATCAGGGGTGTTCACCAGGATCTGTGGGGATGACTATTCACCAGAGCGCCCCAAGGGATGACAAGATTGAATGGTCATAAACTGCTCCACAACTGTTTCAGGCTGGATATAAGGAAGAACTTCTTTACTGTCCGAGCCCCAAGGTTTGGAATAAACTGCTGCCGGAGGTGGTTCAAGCACCCACTTTGAAGGCCTTCAAGACACACTTGGATGTTTATCTTGCTGGGATCCTATGATCACTGCTGACTTCCTGCCCCTGGGGCAGGGGGCTGGACTCGATGATCCTCCGGGGTCCCTTCCAGCCCAAATGTCTATGAAATCTATGAAATAAAGGATGCTGCAGTGCAATTTGAAACTGGGAGACATTGATGAGGCTGAAGTTGGTTCCTAGTTCCTGGTTTGTTTTTCAAAGGTAATCTGTCCACAATTTACAGTTTTTTTCCACGTAGGGAAAAAGAATCAATACCCAAAACAACTATTTCCTAAAGAGCTGAACAATCCATGAAGCTAGTGAACAAGTATAAGATTTAGCTCATGTAATGACCACAAGGGGGTATAGCTCAGTGGTAGAGCATTTGACTGCAGATCAAGAGGTCCCCGGTTCAAATCCGGGTGCCCCCTTGTTTTTATTCTTCTAGAAATAATGTTTGCTAAATGAATGGGAAGGATTTTTATAAATACCCAGCATTTATGACAAACTCAGGCTGTTGTAGTCCTCCCTTTATTCAAACTCAAAAATGCTGACTCCATCCTGCTTGCTTTAGCTAAATTTTAAAAGCCTGCAATAAAGCTTTGTGGTCATAGACCTGCTTCTGCTAGGTGCTGTAGTTAGTTCAGGATTGACTGCTTCATTACAGCTCAGAAAGGTTACAGGTTCAAAAGCTGGTGTGCCAGCCAGCTCACCAACACTCTTAAGTGGTCCTCCAGCCCAAATAATTGCCCACCCCTACTTTAAAGTCTAGGAGCTGCTCTTTATAGATGAGGCTGAAATTGGTTCCTAGCTCCTTTTTTTAAATAAGGAGCCAACTTCAGCCTCATTATTAACTGAGGGTGCATCTACACCAAACTTACTTAGAAGTAGACTAATTAGCTCCACAGTAAACAGTCTCAGTGTCTACAGATGTAGGGCTATTAGGCTAGCATAAACTAATAAACTCCACAGCAGGGCCTTGTAAATACAAGTACTATCCTGCTGCAGAGTTATTTTACTATGCAGGAGCACTCATGTAGATGCTGACCCAGCTGGCTGGGGCACAAGGGTGCTTGAGTAGGGGGGGCTGCCTGCTGGCCAGCCCCACACTGGAGCACCATTGTGCCCCAGCCAGCCCCACTGCAGTACATTGAGCCAGGCCAGAACACCCCAAGCTGGCAGGCCCCCTGACAGTCAGGGATGCTCCAACCTTGCTCAGTGTACTCCCGTCCTGGGCACATATGTAGATGTAATAAACTCTAGCGCAATAAGTGCCAGAGTTTATTGCAGCATATTAATATAATATAATATAATATAATATAATATAATATAATATAATATTAACATGCCCAGAGTGTTTTAATTCCATCTGACTGGAAGGAGAAAGGGTTGGAAGAAGGGAGGTCATGTTTAAAACCATATCTATTTCTGAATTCTAACCACCACCAGAAAGACATTCAGAAAGACCTTATTTGGGGTCAGATTTTGCACAGCTCCTGCAATACAGAAATCTCTGCAAGTCTTGAAACATCCTCTATTTTTTCTGGATAATTGATGTTTCTACTCTGCAGAAACCTAACAGAGTTTTTATTGAACCTGGTCCTCTTTTTTCATGCTCCTGCACTTCTGGCATTTTTCCTGTGATCATTTTCCATCTCCCACAAGATTACCTGTTTTCTTTCAGAGCTTTTAAAAGCATGCCTCAGTCACATGCAATTGCCTCCTCGCACACTGCAAGAAGACTACACCTTTCGTCATGATTTCCTCAGCATCAAGTTAAAACCTTAAAGCAAATACGGTGACTGCGGTTGTTTGGAAAGGAAAGCCAGGTATCACACAAGCAGCATTGCATGATTGCAGTTTAATGGGTGGGAGGGATCCTCTTTCTAAATTGATTCCTCTGCATTGTATCCAGGGGTTATTTTATAAGGCATAAAACTGAGCAAAGGGTGTGTACACATGTACTTTCTGACAGTTAAGCTGAGTTTTTTTTTAAAGTCAACTTAAGTGTCAGAGCATACACACGTACGTGGCTCAGAGTTGACTTAAATGCGGGGCAAGATGATACACCTCTGAGGTGTATTACCTTGGGGCACCTATACATGTTCATTGAGGCTGCTCCAATACACTGCAACTGCAGTGCATCAGCGCAGACTCCATCAATCGAGTCTGCTGGAGCGTGGTAATTACCACATTCCAGCAGACTTCAGCATCACATGTATCAGCATCCCTGCCTTGAAAAATGGCAGCAGGGGCACTTTAATTAAAGCTCATTCAACAAGCTTTAATTAAAACGCCCCTGCTGCTATTTTCCAACATGGGGATGCTGACACATGTGGGGCTTGAGGCACTTTAATTAGAGCTGTAATTAAAGCACCCCCCACTTCCAGAACAACCTAGCTCACAAAATGGATGTCACCAAGTCAAGATGTGCATGTTATGCTCTGACCTGGTTTAAGTTGACTTAGTTAAGTCACCTTATTTTAAGCCAATTTAGCATGTGTGCACGCCCAAAGGTAGTAGCCCAGGTACAATGGTTAAAACTCCAGGGCTAGAAACTGTACTAAAATACACGCCCCACTCAACCCCGCTAGCCCACAAATGCTGCGGAGCCGAGGTCGGGCTGGGTCCACGCAGAACCCGGCCGCGAGCCTGGGCTGCAGTGCCCCCGGCTGCCCTACAGGGGGCGCGAGCTGCCCTTCGGAGGTAGAGCCATTCCCTCGTCACCTGACAAGGGAGCTCGCCCCTCCCCTCTCCGACCTCACGCAACGTTCGCGTCATGAATGAATATCCCGTCGTCCTTTGCGCCGCCTTCTCTCTTTCCCCGGAACCAACATGTCTAAGCGAGGTGAGGCCTGGCGCGGCCGGCCCCGGCCGGGGTGAGCGGCGGTCCAATCCGTCGCCATCCTCCGGCCGCGCGGGCGTGGCGGCCTCGCCACCCGCGGGGAC